TTTCCCCCCCCCCCCCCTCCGTGCCACGTGCCTACCTATGACTATCAAACCCGTGGACCCCTAAAATTAAATTTTTTTTTAATTTTCCACGGACCAGAGTCAAAGGACGTCGAATCTCAGTTTCGGTCGATTTCTTTGTTTCTAATGACAATTAATAGTATGCCGACCTCTCTTGATATTTTTTCTTTATCTCTTTTGCTAATCGCTCCGACAGCCCCAGGCTGTCCCACGTTGAAACACTGGAACGTCGACGGTTCATTTTCTTGGCCAGACAAAACACGCAGGGAAGTCGATTCGAGTAATGTAAATAAGAATTTCTCTCTTTACCATCGGCGATGCCATTCTTCTCTCTCCCACCCATTCACTCGGACTATTTCTCTTCTCCGTCCGACCCGTCGCTCTTCCTGTCTTATCCTTAACCATCGTACGTCGCTTTTACGTAACTCCCTGTCTCACTCGCAAATAGCTTTTCCAGCTACTATCCTCTCTGGCAGCCTCGGAGAAAAACATTTTCGCGCCCCGGGCCTGGCGCTCGCGCTTGACGATAAAATCGACTGGTGTATATATATATATATATATTACAACACATGCTCCGGCGTTTGATTCCCAGTCCTTCGGGATAGACGTATAAGGGATGATTCAGGGGTATAACGGTGGGTATAGAAATCTTGATGATTAAACGAGAGAGGTTAAAGGACGGAGGTCTCATTAGAGGGATGTTTTCACAAACAGAGCATCGGCTTATTAAGAGGCCCATCCGATATACTAGAGACGCTCCTGGGCGCCCTCGGCTGACTTGCTATTGTTGGTTAAGGGCGGGTGGCTGGGGGAGGGAAACGTAGGGTGTACGGCCCTTTGAGAACGGAAGACACTTTGCACCTGTTGAAAGTATAACTCCCCCTCTCCCTCCCTCCTTTGTTCAACGTTCAACCCTCAAAGCGGTCGGTCGCCCTTTGAAGTTACCACCACCACCACCAGGAGCGCCAGCGTCGTCGCTGACGTTACTGGCAGGAAGGCCATCAGCACTGCCATGCAATGTCTGGAGGGGTTGGAATGGCAAAGTTTTCCTTTTTTTTTTTTTTCATCTTTTTTTTTCAACCGGGGCTTCAGCCTCGACATCGAGATCGCCTTGCTGCCACGACGGTTCGGAAATTGGTTTTCGTGCGAACACCAGACTATGGTGCAGCTATTGTTCGTTGAGGAAAACGCACCTATGTGTATATGTATATATATACATTTTTTATTTTCTTTTTCGATATAAGCATGTATATATATATATATATATGTATATTTGATATGTATGCGAACGACTGAGAATGCAGTACTGTCGTTTAGCTTTCTTTGTTACTCTTGAAATTTAACTGTCATTCTGTCTCTCTCGCGACTAGGGCTTCCCTCAACCCGTGGAAACTTTGGGATTCGACAAGACAAAGAGCCACCCGCGTATTTGCTCAACGTGGAGAAGAAAGGCCGAGAGTGATCTTTACTTAATTTAATTACTTTTACAAGGGTCAAGATTATTCGAGAATTGCCTCCTCCCTTGGCCCCCCTTCGTCGCCGCGACTGTTTCGCTCCGTCGCTTTGGCACTTTGGCTTTTCTTAGTCGCCCTCGAAAACCGCACCTGCGCTCGTCAGGGAAACTTCAGTTTGCTTTTACATTGTCTGCGACCTGTGACGGTTTCGCCTCGGAGCTCTTTGCTATTCTGACTTTAGACATTTAAAATTTATTAACGCCCAAGTATCGTTAACCATTGCTAATCAGGCTGCTTGTCCATTCAGATTATGCGTACCGAAATTTGCGTTTTTCGGTCAATCGGTCTCTGTCGGTAAAGTAGATTTAAAAAAATTTTTTTTTACCAATCTTTAAGCGTCGTTCACAAGTTGCCTCGGGAACTCATTTTTCAATCCATATTTTTCTTGTTCGACTCGCTAACGTTCCACCGGTTAATCTCACATGCGAATGCGCCTTTCCACAGGCTGCCGGATGAAAATTGCAGGATACAGGAAAATGAGTAAAAGTGTGAGGACATTCGAATCCATATGGATTAGAAAATCCAATATAGAAAGCAAGCAGGGGTATGGGAGCGTCGGGTCGGAGGAGAAGGACGATGAAGTTACGTGTGGGGGGAAAGGGGGGTGGCAGAGAGTAAAGAGGGTCAGGAAGAGAGGAGAGAGGGCATAACACAATTACATGCGGGCTTGATGCCACGTCGTGCTGGGGGTTGCTCCGAGCTCTGGTGGCAAGATTGAATATGAAAGTTTAATGCGAGCAATATCAGCGCCAGTGGCCTGACTCCGGTCCATGGACGCACACATAGACGGAATCGTACACGTAGACCCAGAGCCGCAGTCCGGCCTCACCTCTGGATCATCCGCGTTATATTTTCTTTCTGATCTTGCTCCTGGAATTCATAGGGTCAAAGGTAGACAGCGCGAAACTCTCCATGCTGATCCAGCGGGCAGCATCCTAATCGTAAAGGACTGAACTGTCACTGAGAATCATCAGGAGCCACCAGAGAATGAAATAGGATCCATGCGAAGTGGGTAGAAGGGTTTCAAAGGGGGGTCAAAGCGGGGTCCACGGTGAGGTTGTTAGGGTGACGGTGGATTTTCATGAGAAGAGGGATGACGCGAGTGATCGGACTTTGCCGGGTTATCAATGAAGAATTTGCTTACGCGCAGAGATATTTCGCCGGCGGATAGGATTCACGAGCTTAGCAAGGCGTTTAGTGACTGTGGCCCGGAGCTATTTGTAAAACTTTCCTCATTAATTACCGACAAGATTCAATCCTCCGTCCTCTGGCTTCCCGTATCTGCACCCCTTTGACTTGGCGAACCATCCCGTAGCTGGGTTGTAACCCTCTGGCCCTCGTAGCGCGCGCACTCCCTTTGTTCCTTGTCGGAGAAAGGAAATTTAACGGAAAATTGGGAACGCGCCTCTCCTCCCTGTGGCCTTGGAATTACATGGCAATTAATAAGAAAAATTGACAGACCCGGGTCCGTGCTTTTGGATGCTGGAGACGGCTGGATTATATCGACCGACGCATTCGTTCCCCGGTCCTGACCTGGACCGGGGATGATCAGCCCCAAAGAGTCACTGCTAGGGTAGGCGGCAGATACTTGGAGCATGCGGGTAGGATCATCGACCTGAGACCAAGTACTGCTCTTGGGGATTGTTGCTATCGGATGACCTACCACTGGGTTATCTGCTAGTCCAGTAGTTAATGATGGGTACTAAAGCGTCCCCTATGACCGGATCACGTGGTGGAACCACTTCTGGGATGAATCTCTGACCCCCCTAACCATACTTGGCGATACTCTGATCTTAGGACGTGGATGAATCCTTGGCTAATCGAATGCTCTTCTTTGCCTTTCAGATCCTGCTGAGCGTTCCTATCGTACTGGGTCTGATACGGAGGGTGCTGCCACTACGGACAACCCAACGACCCCCTTTCCGACTCCTCCCCCAACTCTGACCCCCAACCACAGGCAGGCTTCGCCGTTTCCTCTCGAGAGCACCAATTCTCGAAGACATCATTACAATGGCAGCGTGACCTCCGACAGATCTCGCAGCGGTAAGGGGTCACTTACGTAACCTGCGATTACCTAGGAGCAAGCTCAGGCTGACCTCCGACTAGGTTGAACAACCTCATCGACCATGATGATAATCGCTGGTTTTGTTCTAGGGGAAACAGTATACGCAGCCCCGTCCAAGAAGAGTAACGCAGCTGGAGGCACCCTGGGTCGCAGAACACGTCGGGGTCATGCAAGTGCCCTGAGCTCCAGCTCCACAGCCAGTGACAGGTCAGAGACGACCTACCCCGAGGAGCATTCTCGTATCCACCTGAGCAACGGTGGGTAGCGGTTATAGAAACAGGATGAAAGGGCCAAGTGGTGCCGTCGTAGACAATGGAAACGCGGCTGAGCTAATCTTCGTAACTCGTACAGTTAAATGAGAGGCTGGAAGGTGCGGGACTTTGCGTAAGGACGGTTGTACCTTCATGAAGACGCGAGAGGAAGAGAATCTGACACGATGGGTACAAGGTTGATGATGAAGTTGAAGCTACGGTCATGGTTGGGTTCGGGTTGGGTTGGCTTGGCTTAGGTCGGACTACAGGGTGGGGAAGCGTAGACGAAGGAAAAGCGTCGAGACTAACGGAGTTAAGGGTCTCTATGCTGGCCAGGCTAGTTAACAGGGGTCAGCCGGAAGTTAGTGCTTCCGCGTATGAAGTCCAAGGAAGAGAATGGCCTGCTTAGAGTCCTGCTGTTTTGGCGCGCCTAGCCTCTTTAGGTCTGAGCTTGTCCGCTGCACCTACTGAGGTTAGCCGATGCTAACGTAGTTTTCACGGGAGATAATTTGACACGCGAGTCTCTCTACGAAACCTTCTGGTCGAGGTTGGAGTAAGGTTAACTTTTAACAGAATTTTCCTGACTCGGCTCTGGACTCTAGCTAGATGGATATCTCGTTTGCCGTCCTGGATGAGCTTGCTGGTCCAGGTCGTCCACGACCTTGTTTTCCCTTTTGGACCAGAGCTTCTACCGGTAGCTGCATCATGGTGCTGCTGCTTGGCCGCAGCGTCTCTCCACCCTAATGGAAGGTCGTCGCGACGCCTATTAGCAAATGGCTCGGAGTTTGCCCGCGCCGACCCTCATCGAAATCGAAGGCCGTCACCTCCGAACGCTTCCCGTATATCGAGTATCGGACTATTGATCGTACCTAGAGGGCTTTCGGATGCTCATAGCACCAAGAGGGGTGACAGTTAGGGGTGCGAGTATGTTAGAGAGGCTGAGCGGGAGGGGGGCGAGGGGGGAGGATCGAGCCTTAACCGCAAATTTGACCATGGAGCACAGAGGGCGCTACTCCTGGGTCAGTGCCAGGTTCACGTCCGACAGGGGTTGATGCACTGTCGAGAACTGTGCCAATAGTCCGTGTTCAAGGTTTAACCCCCTTTATGAAAATCGTGGAGCAACCCACCACCTCCAAATCTGTACTCAACCGCGAGCTGACAATGGAACGTAAAATGATTTCGATTTTCATGAATATTCAAGGTAGCATCGCGACCTTCCACAGGGGGCGCTAGGGAGGTTAAGGGATTCCAAAGGGTGCGAGTCCATTAAATCGAGTTAGCCCGAGCGAACCACTAACCGCATCAAGTCACTGTCGACCACCTTGCAAGCCCGTGCAGAGCCAACCCCTTCGGAGTCCCGGACCCTCAGAATCTGCGTTAACCCGCTTGGACCGGGTGTCGCTGACGTCCTGTCCTACTACCTTAATTGGCTATCCGATTACTGATTACGATTGGTTGACAGTGCCATCGCCAGTAGAGATAGATCCGATTAGCCTAACTTGCTTTATGACTATGGAGATGCGTCTTGAGTGCACTGTGCGTATGTTCATTCAATTCATCCATGTTTGGCTGATCATCAGAGCTTCCCTTGTTTCCTACCGTTAACGTATATCGTATTGTTAATTATCCTACAAGAATCCTATATAAATTAACCCTTTTGTACATCAACATTGTAATCTCCTTCGTTATACAGAATTCAATGTCCCAAGGTCTGCTAATTTACCGAGGTTCAACTTGTTAACTTAGGGGGGGTCGGCTGTTAGGTCGGTAGGCACGTGGTTAAGTAAGTGAGCAAAGTGCTGGCAGCGTACTGACGCGCCCAAGTAATCCAGAGAGTAATCCAAAGGCAGTGTTCACTTTCGCGCGTGGCCTCTTTGCCGCGACTGCAACTGCAACTGCACTGTAAATTTCCCGGCTGAAGCCAATAACCGAAACGAGAAACGAGTGAAAGGGTCGGCGAGGCAGGTCGTGCAGTTGCGCCTAATGCAGAAAGGCTGAACTCGTGCCAGACTAAAAGTGATACGTGCCGCTATGCATATGCATATACGGGACTGGCGCAGGCTCGGCTGCACCTGACAGAAGTGCAATGTGCATTTTACCGTTGAATTTAATTAAACAATTATTACGTATTGTTACTGCACCATTGTCCCGGGTTGTAATTGTATTCTGATCTTCTCGTCACTCGTAATCGTTACTGCAGCTGCGTATCTTCCGTGACGCTTATATATCGATTGCTCGGAAAATGCATCTGCGATATACGCAACCATTTGTTTCTATCGCAAAGGACCATTGCACCGATGCACTCTCGAGCAAAATCCCCCCATTACCACCTTTAACTATAATTACATCGTTTACCTAATCATCCTGGTACCACTCTGAAAATAGTCATCGATCAACGTGCCAACTGCACTAATGCACTTTCCTCACCATGCACTCTCTCTTGCACCTGCACAGGTCTTTCCAGGCCGTCTTACTTTACGGGTACGTAAATCACGTTGAATTGGATTTATTTTATTATGCACTTTTTTTTTTATTAGTCTAATTCAACATTGATTTCAATTTTCCTTATGACGTCATCCACCGGGTTATCCGCTGGTCGGAGAGACCTTAGATAATGCCTTTAAATATTTAAACGGCAACTTCCGACGTATATGGGAAAGGACGTAAAGTATGCACCGGGTGGCTTATGCAGTTATTTTTAATTATTATTTTATTCAGTACCCTTTTACCGTGTTAGACCTTACCAGAGATTTTACTCGGCTAATAGTAACGTTAATGAATCTCGAGTACGTGAGTAATACCGAGCACGTGCATTGCGCTTTATACGGATTTACCTAAATGCATCCAGAGCTGCACTTTTCCAGCAGACTGACAGACCCGGCAGATACGGCCGTAAAGGATGGAATAAAAATACGTGAGATGAGAAGGTCTCGAGGACTGGCGGTTGAAATCGTAGATTTTATTTCGGTCTCGCATTATTTTCATCGCCAAAATTTTACGCGTTTCGCCCAAAGAAAAAAGAAAATCTGAAAAGCTAGATACAAGCAGCCACGTGTAAATCACCGTATCGTTACATGGAAATGCAATTTGCTTCTCTTCAGCCAACTATTTTCTCACAGCTTCCTGACTGCGACGCATGACTTTTTTTAAGCCTTTCTTTTTTTTTACAGACAACGGCAGAGACTCGCCACCGGAACCAGCCCCACCGGAAGTACCACCACGTGGACCGTCACTCCACGCAACCCACACCATAAGAACCCAACAGAATCGCAATGGCTGCCCACCGAACGCAGTATCAACTGCAGGTTACGCGATACCCAGCGACCAGGTGCAACCTGAGAATTATACAGGTAAGTGTAAAAATGCGATCGTAACGCACTGTAAATCATACAGTTTCATTTATTTAGAAAACTCGTAATTTCACAAACTCCTTCATCCCCCGTACAACACAGCCACTTCGTCCGCAGTCGAACCCGTTACATAACCTAATTTTCAAGTAAACACCCAATAACGTTCCGCACTCAGTCCCAATAAGTGAAACAGATCGAATTACCCAAAATCGCATATTCCCCCACTTTGTCATCCCTTTCGCAATCTGTCTCTCATTATCAATTTTACTTTTTACTTAAAAAAAAAAAAAAAACCGTACAATGTCGTTTTGAATAATGCAATTTAGCAGGCTGTAGTAATTCGGCGGATGCACCGGGGCGCCGGTTAACGTAGCCGGCACTGGACGCGAGGGCTGGTAGTCGAAGGGATGACGAGGTGAGGGGAGGTGCTGGAGTCTGGATGGGTTATATATCCCATGGAGTGGGGAATCTGTTTAAACTAATGGGGAGCAGGCTAGGGGTTGCGCATTAACGCCCCCGTTAATTCATTGTAAATATACTCGACGCGGTATATTTGTTTCTCTATATTTCTCTATGTACACGCCATTAGTATATGGCCTTGCCGTCGTCGGCGTAGGTGCCTGTTTGCCATTGGCGTCGGTACCCGGCGCCAGCCGACCCTGTATATGTATATCGTGGACGTCCTATCGGAATGGACGATTTACATCCCTTCGCCCCGTGTTTACCCCTTTTATTCCCTTTTTTTAACGATCACCCATTATCGCACGTCCACTCGGCAACTTTCGTCGATCATCGTCCCGTACCGATCTACGTTACCGTACCTCTCGCGTGTATCCACGCATTATATGGACACAACCTATGGATTCCGTTTTTATGGGGCAGCCTGGCGAACGCAGGCTCGCCTACGGTGGACCAGCCCCCGATTTATCGTAATGCATTCTCGATAAGCCATATCGCTTTAACCGACCGCGGCTTCATTGAATGTAGAGCCTCGTTACCGGGACTATTTTACGATGGCCTTTTTCCAAAAATAGTGTTGAGCCGTCCCCCCTCATCCGGCGAGGGGCCTGGACCACGTTGGGAAGGGTGGCAAAAAAATTGCATCGTACAATATCAACTTAGGGATTGGCTTGGGGGGGGGGGGGCTTCCATATAAGGAAATTCGATTCTTTCTCAGCATCCAATAAAGACGCACCGTGGCTTATGCTTACAATACACGCGAGAAATCATACAGGGGAACTTTTTATTATGGGGTTTATGGCGAATTATATCGGGTGGTCGTATTGAAAAAAAATGGGGATTGTGGATATGTGTATATGTATACGTTGGGTGGTAACGTTAGGTTTTTTGGATTTTGGGTTTTCGTCAAAATTTCTTTTTTTTTATCCGATTACTTTATTCGGATAAATTATTGAGATAAATTCTTCTCGTGGCTTGATATACAGTTTTTGAATGATATCTCAAAGGAGATTTTTTTTTTTCTTTTTAACGCAACTAATTGAAGTTCTTTCGAAGTCGGGTTTTATGGGGACGCGAAATCTTGGGTACGACGGTTGCAGCGCTGGAAAATTGTCCCAGTCGCTCGGTGAGAACCCGCAGAATTGCCGGCAGAAAAATATGTACAGTGCAGAGCGAGGGAGATGGATAAGATAAACTATTGTCATTATTACGGGTACAACCCTTGACGTAATTTTTGGCCAAGGCTAAATTTAAAGCAACGACCATACTACCCGCGAGACTCTAACCTGCAATATAAGTTTTTCTTTATTTTTCAACCCCCCAAAGTCCCTCCGGTAGCCAAACGCACGTATTACCAAATGATAAACTAAGTCAAAAATATCTTCCACCTTCGGATCATCATCCCCTATCTATTTTTTTGGAATAACTCATCCGTCTGCGACATATACCCAAGGAATCCCCGAGGTCCTCCAATCTGTCTCCATCCTTAAGAGAAGCTGCGACCGATCGTACCTCGAAGATGCGCAGAATATATTTTTTTGTCATCTAGCGGCGAACTCACAAATCAGGATTGTTTTTGCGAATGAATCGGCGCTCGGTTTATCTTAGGGTCTCTTAAAGAGGTCTGAGGGCACTCCTTCTTTTCCAGGAGTGCCAGCATGGTTGGTAGTACCGGTAGAGGGAGCGAGAGAGAGAGAGGGACGAATCGATCGAATTCTAAGCAAAGGGGGTGCCGGAGGAGCAGCAACCCCCCCCCCCCCCCTCCTGCAAAAAGACAAGATTTACGTTCACTGATTTGCCTCGCGCCAGAGTCCTTTGACGACGGAAAACTCTCCGAGTCTTCTTCTCTCCTGTTTGCTCTCATTCACGTGGCTCACGATTTTATCTTACCTCTCTCTCCCACCCGCCCTGGGTCCGGGTTCGAATCCCGACCCTTGATAATTTTTTTTTCTTTTTTTTTTTTTTTTTTCTTTTTCTCCACAGTCCGACGGTTCGCTCTACTTACTACCGGTACTTCCTGCCTATACGATCGCGCAACCTGACTGCGGAAATTTTATTAGTATAATCGACGTATTAGCGCGTTCGTTAGATACGAGGTAAGGCGCGGTTGTCGTGCTGCTGGGTTACCAGCGTTCCATATTAATTACCAGTCAGCTAATTAGTATTTATTAGACTGCCGTGCACGCTAGTCTCGCCGCTGGTACACGTGGCCCGTAACAGCCACTGTTTCAGATCATTGATATCAGTATAAGCAAACCCACGCGATTTAGCCTCCTTTACGTTTACAATGCACAGATACAGCATTTCGATGCTTCTCTGAGAAGCTGCAGATAAGATTTTCAGTATTTGGCCTCTGACCTCAAGTTACGCAACCAAAAGCTGCTTTTATCCTTTACGCGTAAAGTAACGTTTACTAGACTCAAATTCAGTGTAAACGAATATTTTAGCTGGGAAGGAAAAATTTATTTTTTGTAACATTTTTCGTAATAATTTTTTCGTTAATTAATTAAAATGACGTTTCTACCTTGACACGTTGTTCTCGTGACGTAGCTTCGTTAGTCTCGGCTATACTGTGACACCTGGGGATAATACGATATGAAAGGATATATATCCTGCATACGGTCGAGTTACGTGGGACTTCCTACAGGCAAATCGGGTTACGAGAAGACATTCATTCCCTTTCTGTCTCTCTCTCTCTCTCTCGTTCGCTTTACTATCTACTCAACCTAGGCTCTTTGTCTATCGTTTGTTCTCGGTCCTTGTTTAACTTCGTGGATAATTTCCCACTTTTGAACTGCGTCCTACGTAAGGGAGGGAGGGGGGGGTATGCCACCCTTTTTCAAAATTCTTTGTAATCCTATAACATTGACGTCACCATTCATAAGGAAGTACACGGGAGATCGAGCAGCGGATTTACCAGCCAACGTTATAGAGCCCAGAGGGGTCGTACTTTTTATCGCGGAATAAAGTGAGGCGTGAAAGAGGAAGAAAAGTGCAGTAGGTAATGTCAGACAGTGCAGAGTGTCGTATTTCCAAAAGGAAATTCTCCTTTGTAAAAGTGGCTTCGTTTTGTAGCTCGTTCGTTTTCTTCGCTGTCGTACTTAATACGAGATACGTATCAGCCGTGACAAAGGAAACGAGAGACTGTGAAAATAGTGCATTTTAAATGCAACGTAGAAAAAGGATGCACTTTCGATAAATTTATTTGGTCCATTTCTTTTATCCGATAATTTTAGTAATTTTCTTACTTAGGTATCCTATCGTTTTTTTTTTTTTTTTTTTTTTTTTTTTTTTTTTTTTTTTTTTTTTTTTTTTTTTTTTTTTTTTTTTTTTTTTTTTTTTTTTTTTTTTTTTTTTTTTTTTTTTTTTTTTTTTTTTTTTTTTTTTTTTTTTTTTTTTTTTTTTTTTTTTTTTTTTTTTTATAAGTAGGGACGAAATTTACTATTGGGACCTTGCATGGGAGTGGGACGGAGACAGACTCACATGTACTTGCTACAAGAGAGAGCGAGAGGGAGACGTCCACGTGTCTTTGTAAACCCGAAGAATAGAACCGTAGAGAAGCTGCACGGTTTTACATGGAATAATATCCTATTTGGATCTGTCAGTTCAATAAGCTTCTCCCTCATACACGAGGATTAGTGTTACCAGATGATGTTTCATTTCAATTTCGATTTCTACCGAAGGGTGGGCCGCATTCAACCAAACAGCAGGTTTACGTATGTATACGGAATACATGGGATATATATATTTTTTTTTCAAATTTTTATAAGTGTTTCAATTATCTTTATAAAATTATTTTTCACGCCTCAAAATCAATTTTTGCTCGAATTACGAAGGAAAAGTAATTTGTATAAAAAAAATTTTTGATAATTAAAAATTGTCAAAAGTTACCCCCCTTCGATAATACCTCTCGTCGTTCCTAGGATTATTTGACGTCTTTTGACAGGACCCAAAAACGTATCGACCTTTGACCCTACGAGGGTCTCTAATACCATCAAGCGTATTAAGCAACGATTATTTCTTCATGGTCCAGCACAATGCTGTTCCTTCGCTTAGATCTCTTTTGGTTATATAGTATATAGGAGAAGCTTTTCACCCTCCGTTCTGCATCCCTTATGTCAATCATAAATGGATCCCTAGCTACCCATTGTCAACGGATACAGTGGATATACCCAATATTGAGTCAGACTCAAATTTTGAATATACTCTAGTCTCGATTTTTTTTCTTCTTTCATCTCCCCTATCGCCGCCCCCTATCTTTTGTCGTGTAATTCAGCGCATCGTCAGAGCCAATTGAAAATGGAGTGGCACCAACGGCGGACGCTCCATTTTAATAAACGCCCGGCAATGCCGACCCGCGGCGAATACGTTCCCGTTTGTATCAATTAACACGTCGGGAATGCTTTTTGCCAGGAACTCGACCTCCTGCAGAATCCACAACGCCATCCCAGTCTGCTCCATGGCTCCCGTGGGTACGATTGTCGCGGCAGGAATTACCATACCAGCCAGCCATCCCGGTCAAACTAGCAGTTCCCCTTCCG